GTACTGCGCCATGACGACAGGCCTCTATGCCGCTACTGCGGCCGTAGCTACTCGTCGCCGAGCAACCTGCGGCAGCACGTGAGAAACGTCCATTCGAACTGGCCGTCGCCGGAAACGTGGCCGCAATGCAACGTATGCGGCAAACGATGCAAGACCAAGCACTACCTGATCAATCATCAGCTGCAGGCGCACGGCATCCATCAGAGACCTAGCAACAATTCCGTTACCCAACAACAGCAACAGCATCAGTCACCGTCTTCGTCCTCGTTGCCATGAGTACGTTCAACGTCATCGCCCATCGTCGACGGCCGCTTAGAAACGCGTACAAATGCAATCAAATCCTCGCTGCTTGTCGAAAAGCTTTAGTGAATGTCGCGCGATTCGAAACGAGAGGGTTGCTACCCGCTTGATAAAACAGTTGGAAAATCGTAACGGGGATTCCCGTCACTGCCGCAACTGCAATCGTCGCCGTTGTGCTAGTTGCCCGTCTGAAATTTGTTTAATCCGTTTAGGGCCTTTCGTTCGTGATAGAACACTGTAGTCATTGTAGGTTTTATAAGCAGCAATGATAAAGCAGTAGGTACTATCTGAATACGATTTTTCGGGCATTAATGAGAGATGGTGATTGATATTACATTTTACACAGTAGTTTCTATATCTATATCGCAAAAGGGTTTTAATCAAATTTTTTTCTATACAATGTTATCCGTTTTATTATCTAAAATTTTATTATCTAAACTGTTGTATTGAGTGTAAAAAATGAAATTTTTATTTCTATCCTATCCCTATTATGCATAAAATATATGATTTTACAATCTACTCGGAATAATATATTATTCATTAGCATCATCTCATTTATCTCGATATTTGATATGTCACATCGAGATTCAGTATTGATAACATTGTAATCTTAACAATACTTTTACAAAATTGACTGAAACAAGATATTAATAAGAGAATAGAAACAGGGCGAAGACTTTAGCCTATTTGATGCATACGATTATTTTCGACCGCGACAAATGAATTAATGCAGTTATCGAACTAGTAGTTTGAATAGTTCTTATAATGCGGCAGATAAAACATAAATATAACGCGAAAATGACAGCGTTATGTCAAAACAGTGAGATTTATATGGCAAAATCATCGATCGTTTCGACGTTGCGCCTAAAATCATACATCAAACTTAATGTATACGAAACTGAAGTATACTGATTGTGAGTGTATACGAACACTGACCGAAAACATGATCTTAACAATTATACGAACGCATAATTATAATTAACGTGATAAAAGATTTTTGAAGAACTTGGCATACTCGATTAGCATGTTTGCGAATTTAGAACCTCGAACACCTCCGCCACCTTTTGCCGAAAATCCAGCTATTTGTAGTAAAAAAATCATTCAATTATATTAATATTCCTATTTTCCCCCCATTTAAAGAACATGATTAAATGGCAATGTTAATTGTCCACATTCTCTTGCACGATGCCAGACTCCTTCCAACCACATTGAAGTAAAGGGCAATTATCCAGTAAAAAAAAATCTTAACAATGTCGCATTTTTTTGTTTTGTAGAATTTGATTTGGATCGAGTTCATTAGAATCTAAATATCCCAGTTATTATATGTCAACATCTGTTATAATCTCAAATTATGTGACGTGTATCTATTTGTTATGAATGTTTCGGTACTATACCGAAAGTAATGAGAGATTTCTCAAGTATTTTCATGGCGTAATGCAATTTTCATGCTGAACTTTTGGAGATTATCTTACAATATGTGAAATTATTCGAATACATAGTGATAATTAATATCAGAAATATCACAAATAATATACGAATTTGAAAACGAATTAATATAACTGAAATTATATTAATTTTTTTTTTAAACAGTAATGAAATAATAATTTGTAACGAAGTAATTATTATTTCTGTTTTTCATACTGAAGTGATATGATAAATATTTTTTAAAAGCATTTTATAATAAAATTATCACTATATATTCGTATTAATAGACACCTTACGCTGATGGTCACCCGTACCAATAACAATTAGCAATCGGTTGATTCCAAAAATAGTAAGAGCACGATATAATAGTAACCGCTGCGGGAAATACCCCTAGATGTTGAACACCGTTGGGTCGAGGTTGGGCGCGTAGCATTATCCGCGTTTAGCTCGGGGTGGGATTATGGTGGTGGTGGCTGGTGGTAACGTTGGTGTGGTGGTGGTTGCAGATCACGGGCTTGATGAGGCAGAGGGCGCGGCTTACCACCACCACCACAGCCATCACCAGCAACATCATCGGCATCGCCATCATCATTCACTATCCGTCCCTTCTCCTCACCACCGTCATCAGGCGCAACTGGAAGACGACACATCAGTTAACCAATCTTCCACCACCACGGCCACCACGACGCCCAGCAAATACCAACGTGGCCAGCCGGACTTCAGGCAGCAGAGATTATTGCGGGAGCACCATCGGCAGCACGGTTACAGGTGTCCCCTCTGCTGCAGGATATTGCAAGATATCAGCGCCATGAGGGCGCACTTGGACCATCATTATCCAAGAGATTCACCTACTTGTCCCGTTACTTCCTGCGCCAAAACCTTCTCCCATCCTAACAGTGTCAGAAACCATATGCGGCTGAAGCATCCAGTGCAGTGGGATCAGATTAAAACTTTGAGGTGGACCTACGTCTGATGAACAAGCGAGGATCAGTAGAACTCTGATCGTGTGTCATAACTTCGATCTTTCCCAGAACTATTTTGCCAAAGAAACTTTGCTTTTTATTTTCCGGTGTGGCCCTGCAATTCTTTGTGTGAGACAACTGTGCGGCGATAATGAGTAATAATTTAATAGATTACGGCAGACTTTAGTTGAAAATTGCTGTTGATATTATTCTAGCAGAAGAGATAATCTAATATAGGTTCAATTTAATCAATTAATTTAATTAACCCAATATTGCAAAGATTATAACTTATACGATATTTAATATCTTAATAAATTAATTGTTAATATATTATTAATAATTACATTAATAATTATATTAATAATTATGTATGAGAAAAAATAACGTATTTAATGAAATCTGCATTTAGATATCAAAATTGACAATCATTCCTTGTACAATATAAACTTTAGGCTTGCTCATTTAACATTTCCATAATAAGAATAAATATCATATTAACATCAAATCGAGCTTGTTATCGCCGCGTAGACTATTTTAGATGAATGTTGGAAGAGAGTCTGGTCGACGGAAGTTGGGTTCTTTATATTCTGCAAATATTGAAATATCGAGAGACGCAAACGAAATTGATAAACGCGTTGATAAGAACATGCGAATTAGCTGGGAGAAAATCCAACATGTGTCCCGGCGTGGTAGGAAATGCGCAAAGTTAAAAATCGTACTTTAGTGCTTTATTTCGAAACTAACACACACGCACCCACCGTGAAGTTTATCCCTGAAAAGCGCACACTGTACATATGCGAGAGATTATATCGACAAAGGAGAGAATCTATAAATATATATATGAAAAGCTATTATATATTGAGCATATATATGTATACATAAAGAGATATGCATAGAGTTGATTTTGTATAATATGTACGAAACAGTATTTCCTGTAGAGCCTGAAGCGTAGATCACGCCGCGTAGAGAATGAAGCGATGCACTTACATACTGCGACATCCGGCGTACGCCGGACATCGATATAATTAGATTACGTATCTAAGAGAGAAAACAATGTTCCTCTAAGCTGAGTAAGCCAGCCTTATGTTAAATAACGTAGTTTTAAGAGTGTAGAAACTGAACAGAGAGAAAGAGAGAGAGAGAAAAAGAGAGACGAGCGCACGAGCTGAAGACCGCAACGATGCTGAGTGCGATCGTCTCTAAAGATCCGTTTGCTCTAGCGATCGCGAACTTGCGACGCGACGTGTGAGAGAGATGCTAGCGCGCATACGCAAAATTGCAGATCTGTATGAGCGAATGGATCGCGAGAGAATACGTCGACCAGAGGTACGGTCGCTTGACAATGCCTAGCCTTATTTTTCTACGTCTTACGTTTCATCAGTATTCCTTAGGTCAAGAGTGCCCCAAAAGACGTTACGTTTCGAGACCGCGCATACTAGAATACGCCGCGAATAAACACGAGGAAGTATATTTATATATATTTCTGTGAACGTACGAGTTGTCGGTTGCGGATCTCGAAGGAAAATAGAATACGGCAACTAATTATGATCGTTTCTAAGATGAAATTTGCACAAAAATTCACGCAATGTGTTACGTACGCGATACATAGTTTAGATAACTAGACGCTGCAAAGTATCCGCGCAACAAAGTATCTTTCTCATTAAATATTATTTATTATCGATTCTTCTCTTCCTGGCTGACAGCTCGTACCATGAATAATGTATAGAATACCGTACATACTATTTTAGCAGATACTAGCTTCTATATATATATATATATATACACATAAGACGTACGAAATAAAGTCTATACTATTTAAGTAATGCTTTGTACAATAAAAAGTACTCAGAGAAATCCAGAGTGTTATATATATTTCCACAATTTCTTGTGAATTCTTATAACATTATTGATTACACGACAATCGTGCAATCGATTTTAGAAGGCAAATAGTTAATTTTACATAACTCCCTTATCGTATTATCTTGATATTTATATATAAGTAGAACTTTTTTGTTTTATCTGCGGTTTTCCATTTTTTTTATTATCTTTCTCAACTCAATAACATAATATTTTATAGAAAATTTTATAGACGATAAATTCTGTATTTTAATTATTTACAAAAGTAATTTTATATTAATTGATTGGCCTGAAGGAAAGATAAAGGCAGAATAAAATTTAAAATGTCGATGCAAACCAAAATTATCCCTATCGAAAAATCATTGTTAATCAATTGCCTATTGGTTAAATAATCCAACAGTTTTTCTTCTATAATGAAATACATAAACATCTCACACGTCTGTCATTTATTTGCAGTAGTCAATCGACGAAGTCTGGATATGATTCGGGTTCGTGCAACGGATCCTAGGCCTTGTCCGAAGTGCGGAAAGATGTATCGTTCAGCACATACATTGCGCACTCATTTGGAAGACAAACACACAGTCTGTCCGGGATACCGCTGTGTCTTGTGCGGCACAGTGGCGAAGTCGCGGAATTCCCTACATTCTCACATGTCGAGACAACATCGGGGCATCAGCACGAAAGACCTTCCAGTTATGCCGATGCCCAGTAAATTCGATCCCGAGTTGGCGTCCCGTCTCTTGGCCAAGGCAGGAGTCAAGGTGAGTCCGGCTGAACTACGCGCACGGGCCAGTCCAACGGCGTCTCGAAGAAGTGACATGAGGTTGGAACCACCTCGTGCAGGCGCGTCCGAAGCTGACAGCTGCGGCGGTGATGATCCGGAAGATCTTACCGTGCCCCTTAGTCTTAGGTACAGTTCGCCAATTTCGAACACCGTCATTACTAAGGTAAGCGGGAACAGCAACAGTAGCACCAATAGCAAGAATTCGACGCTCGCTGTCAAGTCCCTGGATTCTATGCATGGTAATGGCGACCTCAACATGGCACCATTGCTCCCACACGGCAGCCATCATCCAGGCCACAATACCAGTGCGATTGTTGGACACTCGCCCCTCTTGGACACCTATTTGCAGCTTATTGCAGAGAGCTCTGGTCTATCGACGATAGGACTTAATCCAGAGCATGCGGCCGCCGCAGCAGCTAAGTTGCGTATGAGTATTGAAAAGCACGGCGGTCGTAGCTTGGAGGATTATCCTATGATCGGCAGAGACGAAGGTCGAGGCACTGCAGTTGTCCACGAGGACAGACAGGAATATGGCAGACACAGTGGACTTGTCGACGAAGTGGATTCGTCAGGTGCGGAGGACGACGAGTTTAGCGAGAATGAGGAGCCAGACGTGATAAAGTCAGAAATGTTAAAGTCAGAAGTAAAAAAAGATTAGCTCCTCCCTCTTAGAATAGCTAATGATTACAAAAGGCATCATCGAAGTTACTGATAATTCTTCGAGATGATCTACGGCAACATAAATTGACGACAATTTATGGTTAATGAAGAAAGAGGAGGTAATATGTGCCAGATCGTCCATCCGAGAAATCGACCGATGATTCTTGTTTCTTATTGCGTGCTATTGTTACGCGGAATGGTTTGTGAAGTCTATTGGATGTCAGACATGTTTAAAGAGTTAAAAAGTCTCTGAAATATTTTAGAGACCATAGGCCGACCATACAAACGATGCGTGGACAAGCTTGCTTGTTGGACTAGAGTCACTTAATTGCCACTACGACAAGTAAGCTCTCATATGTATATGTGCAAAACCGTGTACATATACAAACACATATACGCGCGCGCACACACATATATACATACAGACACACACATACGTACACACGCGCGTAACGCGTATACGCGAAGAAGCACTTACATATATGCCACAAATATTCCATCCATCTACCTCAGTGCACATAATAGATGATAGAACAGACTAAGTCGAATCTCAGTAGATGAAGAGAAGATGAAGTACGCCGTTGGATCGCAGAATAACAATGATCACAAGGTTTGACGATTGCTGCAAGTCTCGAGATATTGAACATGATGATTAGGGAAGGCAATTTTGCTGTTTATTTCAAAAGTTTAAGCGACTTGAAAATTTGAAGTGCTAATTAACGATATTTGTTATTATATTATCATTATTATGAATGTTCAATACATGGTTAGATATATTACTTGGATTTATAGAAACATTAGACACGCAAACGACATTTAGCTACTTAAAAATTATTTTTATTTGGGTAACGCGCGTAACGATATAATGTCATGCCGTATTTATTAGATGCACCAGATTAACACATTGATATATGGATTATACGTTAAACATACATATGAATGGCACTCAGTTTCATGAAAAATTCTGCAGGAAGTCAAATATTTTTTTCATAATTTATTTTTTTGCTATAAAACAAAAAAAAACCATTATTGGACGACAAGACTTTTCACGACAATTTTGTTATTTTTTATTTAAATGACGATTTATTTAAATGGCTTTCTCGAAAACAAAGTCATTTGTATATGAATGCTTCGTGTAACGTGGTGTCAATGTGTTAATAATGTTTAATGCACTTACAACTGTTTCTGCTCGCAAAGAATAAAAAATATTGGTGTGGATCGTAAATATCCACAAGCGGTTGCGAGCGCACCGAGAACCATTATAGACTTTATTCACGATATAAGTACGGTAATAATTATATTTCAGTCTTGCTCCAATTAAATATTCTTCGGTGAAACTTAAATACAATTGTTCACATCATCAGTTTGTTCAAGTTTCGATAATATAATATATGATAATATAATATCATTGAATTTTTTAGATAAATATTTTGTCAGAAAAGTACCATATTTTTCTTTAACTTTACGATAATAAATATAATTACCTACGTGATCCGTTAAAGTGCTCAAATAGGTAGTTATAAAGTGCATCTACTTTTCAAAAAAAGGCCAATTTATTTGAATTGCAGTTTGTTACAAAGAGAAAATGCCTTTTTTTAAACAAGTAACATATCCTCTAAGAAAAATTGGGGAATTCTGTAAAAAGCGTGTACAATTAATAATTTTGCAATTTAATTAAGAAATACTGTTTTAATACCTAACATATTTAAAGATATATTAGGTATTAAATAACACAATATATTTTTAATACTAATTATATAATTTATCAAACGGACAAGTAACGTCATTTTGAAGAAGCTGTAACACAATCATTATATTTACGTAAACTAAAAGATGATTAATTTAACGGAACAAGACTGGAGCACAATTAAACCGTTACCACATCAGTAGTGAATAAAGCCTTAATGCGATTATACACACGCGTAAACATCTCGCAACACATTCGATATTTAATGAATTTTTTGGATTCAGAGAGCATTTGTTTTCTTGAGTTAATTTTTTTATTGAATATTCAATATCAGATGAATCCAGAGAATTACTGAAAGAGTACCTCATTTTGACGTCGACTACATGCGTCGATTGACTTAAGATTTAACTTAATGCGATTGATTTTCACTAAATACGGCGATTGGCGATTTGCTGCTTGTCTCCTGTTTTTTAAGGAATTTAAAAAGGCAAGGGAAAAATTCAATACGGAATGATAATCCCACTTTAGTTTGTCTTTGGCCTTACCCTTTCATCCTATCATCTCCTCTTGCATGCAACATCCCTTTTGGGACAAGTATTTTAGGCTTGCCATGACGTAAGTTAAGTAGTGATTTAAGTTCAGAATATTGATTGTTGTTGATAGGGGGGAAAATACAATAGTTATCATATGTCAGGAATAAAATGTTAGGAATAAAATCGGCGCGGTTTTCGAGATTGTATAATTGCACCAATTAATAACGGAGTATGGCGATTAAACTTATTCCGCGATCTCGCGACGAGAGACTGGTACGTTTAAACGTGAATTGCGTTTTAACGCACGGCGTCTCGAACAACGCGACGAATATTTGATCATTTGTTGCTTGCGCGCACGTAATGTTCTTAGCGCGACAGAAACTTTTCTATTATCGCGAGGCGTAGGGAAAAGTTAATTTACCGGATGATTCGCCGCTAAACGCGCACGACACGGTATGTCGTGAAATTGTTCCTACTAATATATATAATTCATAAGTTCATTTCATTGACAACATATATAGATTCTACGTATATGATAATAATAGGAATACACACGCGTATATGTGTATTCTTTATATATGCGTATAAAGAAGGAAAGAGAAATCTAGCAATATGTAGCAGCGTGGCGCGGGTCAAGCGCGAAAATGTTGACAAATTGGTGTTTTCTCTACAGGATAGAATCTTTGCCGTGTTTGTGGTCGATTGTTTAATCAATCGAGCTGCGATTGTGCATCGTATCTTTGGCCCTTGGTGCATGTTTCAATATGTGACTTACCACATAAACTTGGTGATCGATCTCTGTGTGTATTTTTCACAAAAAGAGAAGTTTTAACGCCGGGGATTGTAACGTGAGTCAAGCATGAAGCAATTTGGAATTTTTGCATGAAAAATTACCGTAAATTCTAGCATAAAATTCTGCGCAAGAAATTGATCATATTAAAATAACAATATTGTCATGTCTGTATAACGCAGAAAAATTATGAACTATACGGCGATCGCGTATCGCTATTGGACATAAACTTAAAAAAGCATAAAAAATTGAGGAGTCAAATAAAAGTTAATTGAGACTTTAATCGACTATACTGGCAATGATTATAATCGTGGCTGAGGTAATATTTTTCACAATAAATTTAATTATTTAATTAAAATGCTTATATATTATAAACATCTAAAATTACATCAATTTTAGAATGACCAGAATCTTTGGTCGAAACGGGGTGACGATTTGTCACGAAGATTATAATCATTGCCGGTATAGTCGATTAAAATCTTAATTAGGTTAATTATTGATTGGCGAAGTAAATGTTACTCGGTGCAAATAGAAGTTGTATAAAAAGTTGTATAAAATGTTGTATAAAAAGTCAAGTTATAAAGAGTACTAGCAGCTGTTTAACAATCAAGTCAAACAAATCATAGAAAAAAATAGAGTTACCGCGTTTTATAAATTAAATTTCTTCTAACAAAATCTGTCATTAGCGTTGGTTTTGCAAGTAATACCATGACCGCTGGTTTACCCTACAAACTGTATAGTTTCAGCTACAAAGATTTTATTACTAAGGATCAAGATTGGGTACCGTAGGAGCATGCATATTCTTGCCTTGGTTTTTGAGTTCCATCGCGATAGTGGATTTATAATTCAATGTCAGAGAAATGTAAAAGATCTTTTATAGATCCCGGCGTTTAAGTCGCGTATTAACAGTTCGGTTACTAGAAGGCTCATAGAATATGGATAGTTACTCCGATCATATTGTCAACACGTATAGAGATTGCTATTCGTTTTAGCTATTTGCCTATATTGATTGTCAATATCAAGCGCGGTTAACAGATTCTGTTACAATCTAATATAATAACATACTAATTAACTTTCGTTTTAGCGGAAACATGTTCACTGCGCGTACTTAAATTTTGTATCTCAATTCGAATTCTAGCTATCAAGTTCTACTAAATGTTGAAACGAAAAATTCAGGAGTACTTTATTGTACTAAAACTATACGAATTATTGCGGGAATTATAGACGATTCTGATATAAAAAGTATCCCGAGAGTCCAGGAGAATAGAAGATGTTGCATTCTTTGTCACTTCTTTCCTTAGAGCGAGAGATGGATCGGCATGTCCGATGTATGAATTCTACGCCGAGTCTCAACGGTGTCATGTATCGTGATTTTCATTGATTTTAGAACACGATTCCTTACAGTGATAGCTATTATCTATATAAAGTCTCCAAATCCGAGAAAATAATGTTATTATAGGAAAAAAGACGGATGTACCAACAGGTTTCGTGTAAACTACGAAAAAATAAATATTTTCACAGATTCCAATCCGTTATCTAGAATAGATGATGACGTTCTCGACTAGTTATCGACTAGTTAACTTGATTTTCTATTTTATATTGAAGAAGTAGCTATTGGAAAATGAAAATTTCAGCCGGAGATAAGAAAAAGATGTTTTCAACCGGGAATGGTTATGGCAATTTCCGTCATGCCTTTTAATTTTTCAATGTTTTTATTATTTTTTAACATTTGACGAAACAGATGTTTGTTGTTGTATAGAAAAGATAATCGCGTCAGATTCAAGAATTGATGCTTATTCATATATTAATGCTGGATGCCTGAAACCTGCTCAAATTGGCCTAATTGGGCTATTGCTAATAATAAACTTAATCCAGCATAGATAGAAATCCTAAGGGATAAGTATGCGATTAGCAAAAGTTCATTCTAAAGGTACATGGTGAAATCGACGGAAGATTGTCGCACCTGAACCTGTTTAATATCTTTGGATTAATCCTGCGCCTCATATGTTTTAATTAGAGAATTATCAGGGGAGAGAATTCCAAAAATATGAGGTTCCATACACAGTAAGACAGAATCTAAAAAGATGGCACAAATTTAGAAAGTTGAACTATTTAATTTTTTTCTTATGTTTACTTTTTTAGTTTTCATAAATACTTACAAAAACTTTACTTATAAAAACTGTACATATTAATTATAATTCTTTATATACGCGGCATTTTTATTTAAAATCTTTTCAGTGTTATTATAATGATGAATAAAAATTATATGCATTTACGAGTACATCATAAATAAGATTTTATTAGAATAAAATATGTCAAAATTTCAATTATAAAGGAATCATAAAGGAATCATTTAAATAATTCTTATTTATTATTTTGTAGCGATATATATGTGCAATAATAATAAATTAGTTTTCAATTTTCAAACTAATTTTTGCAAAAATAAGTCATATATTTTAAGTTAAAAGTATACATTAAAAATGTACATACCTAATGATCCATTTGATGATGATGAAGATAATAATAATAATAGTAACTTTACTGTACATATAGCATGCTAGATGAATATTGTAAGAGTAAGAAGAGAGAAAAGTGAAAAGTGATTTAAAAAAAGGGGGAATAAAAATACAAAAAAATTAAAAGATCTGAAAAAAATGTGGAGACTCAGACTGCCCGGCGCTTGACAGTTTTGTTCATTGTATAAAAAATCTTTTGAAATACATCTTTTGGCAGCATACTACTCGTTCTATTGCGCGGTTACCATCGCAACGAGATAACATATCACACCTCCTAATTATTTGTATACAAATTCAAACACACCAAAAGATGAAATCCGAATCAGCGTTACAAAATTAGACCACACTATTAATTAGGCACATTATTTTACATAATTAGAAAAACTGATAATTATACCAGCTTTTGGCGCCACTATTTACTATGAATTCTACAACACTGCATAAATCAGCTTTTTGCAAGTAATTTAATTAGCAGATCACAGAAAAAGTCAAGCTATTAAACGTTATATCACTATCACTGGTGCCAGTTTACATAATAAAAGCAATAAGGATAACGTTGAATACAGAAAATAAGTATAAAAGAAAGAAAAAGTTAAATTAATTCTATACATTAATAAAAATAAATTTATTTATTTATCTGTAAAAGATAAGTTAATTTATTAGGAAGGCTGTCTTACGTGCAGTATACTATACGTTTCAAAAGTATTGAAAAAATTTACACATACAAAATATAATGATATATAGAAAACAGAAACTAAATAAAAAGAAGAATTGTGAAACAAAAGAATAAATACATGAAACAATAAACTGTAAATAACATGAAGCAAATAAATAAGAAAAAATTAAGCAAATGACAGAAGAAAAGGTGATCTGGAGCTTTTCTGAGATTTTTATAAAAGTACAAATACATGCGTCTTAACGAGAAAAAAGAAAGAGAGAGAGAGAGAGAGAAATATTTATGACTGTATATTTATGCTAATACTAATATAAATTTTATAAAAAGAAACTAAAAGGCATTATTGTAAAAAGAAATATACAAAGAGATACAGGAAAACAAAGAAAAAAAAAGAAAACTGAGTGAAAACGATGTGACTGGTGGTAATATCTGATGAACAAAATCGGCTGGAATGTTATAGTCTTTCCAATT